AAGTTGGGCAGCCTAAAACTTACCGAAATGTATATTCCTCGATCAATCAGTGTTTTTCAACCGCGAAAAGAGGTCAATCAAACAGCTGGAGAACAATTATGTCACATAACATTTAGCCTAAGTTACCTCAGGAAAGCCATTTCATGACCATATGATAGCACGTTATAGTTGGCTATAAAAAAGAGCTATAGAGAGTGTTTTTCTAAATTTATGTAGCCTACTACTATATTACATATGTATTATATTTTTACTTATATCAAAGTTGTTATTTGTAATAAACACGCATTATATTTAATTTGAGCTATTTTTAACCTTAAATACTACCAGCTGATATGGCTCTCTGTATTTTTACAGCATTGGGTGAGATTTTTTTTTTTCCATAAGAAAAATGAATGCCTATCTTGTGTACCTATTTATCCAAATGAGTCAATATTGCATCAAATCACAAGAATTAAATTATATTGAAATCGTGAAATTTGTGTCAAGCAATAATAATAAAAACGTAGCTTACCAGAAATTGTACCATGTAAACATTGTAAGATTGTGTATGCGATTAATTTAGATTAATTAAAGGAGCCGTATGTAAGATTGTGGCCAAAACAGGTACTGCAATCACTTTCAAATTACTGACTCGAGGTTGCCAGATATGCTGCAGGATCCGATTCCGACACGTTTGTAGCTGTGGCTGTGGTAACTAGAGCAGATCTGGCAACCCGGATGCCGCAACACTACTGACTTCGTGATTGGTAGATGGTGGAGGGTGGGGCTTCAGGCCAAAACACAACATGACAACATCAACATCAGTTGAGGGCTGCAACTGCACTTTTTAAATGACAATATCCTGGCCGGACTACTGTTGTCAGTGATATAAGTATTTGAAATGAACATGATTTCTTAATGTCTAGTGACATATCAGGGGAAATTTATGATTAATTGAAATAAATTTCTTACATACAGCTCCTTTAATTACAGAGTATGTAATTAATTAGATTAAAAATTTTAATCGATTGACAGCCCTAATATTTATGAATTGGATGGATTGGCTAAACATCCAGCTAAGCAATTAGAAGAGTTAACAAATGATTTAATAAAAGACTGATCAAACTCTTACCTCCACAGGTCTTGTTGGCTGTTGTGTTTTCCCCCCAAAAGTATCTGGAGGTGCAGACGAGGAGCTGTCTCCAGAAGAAGTAGATGGGACTGACTCACATGTTGTGTCACCTGGTGGAACCAAACAAATATAAAAATTATGAATGTTATAAATGATGGATCTGTTGCTCAGTCATCGATGAAACTTCACTGGACACCTACATTTTTTTTTACCAAGGTAACAAACAATATCTGTTACTAGGATTAGGAAGACTTGTCAATGGTTACGTTTACATGCAACCAAATAATCCGTTAGTAATCGGATTGAAGGCTCAATCGGACTGAAAAGCCTTCATGTAAACACCTTAACCAATCCAATTGAGCTCGATCCGAACAAATTTCGATCAGATTGAAAGGGGTGTTTTATTTATTTTCTAATCCGATTAAGAGAACATGTAAACACTTGATCGGATTGAAAATCATAACTGATCGGACTGCGCATATGCAATGACGCTGAAATAGCGCAATGACGCATGACACGCTGAACGAGCTGTTCTTCCTGTTGAATAAAGTGTCATATAAATGAGAGTCCCGTCATTCTAAAATTCTCCTTTCACTCCTCAGTGTCTGTGAAGTGGAGCAGGACAACGTCCCACCAGTCCTTGTTTCGGATTCTCATCCACAGACGACTGATTTTGGGCATTTTTACTTTGTGATAAATATGAGCAGCCAGGCACGGTCATTGATCATATGCTCATTGTCTCTACTCAGATGTAAATATTAACGATGACGTCAATTTCAAACCATGCGATTCAGACTCTGACAATGTTAACAAACAAGAGGATAGTGCAGAACGGATTTCAAGCACGGATTTCACAGGACATTCCAGAGTGGTATGTTTTTTATTTTTGTTTCTGATAGATTATAAAAATGTTATCCACCATTTAATCATATTTGTCGGAAAACTATGGTAATACAAACAGTAATCGATCACAAAATCATGGATAATTTTCCTAAGGGACAGTGAACAGCCTTACTAAAGCAAGAGCTTACAAAAGCTAAAGTAAACACTACATCAATACTGTAATGTTAGCAGAATAGCAAAGATTTGCCTTCGTTTACATCATAGCAACTAAATAATATTTATAATTGGAACTCTCAATAGAAAACACAACTACAAATAATAAGACGTACTTACAAGTTGTGTTCCATGAACAACAGATTTTCCCGACAAAATGGGAATGGCTACATCTTTCAGGAGAAGCTTTTGTACGTAGCCTGCATTGCACTCTTTCTCCCTGCTGTTCTCCGTAAAATGTGCAGCGCACAGACAAACGTTAAGGTTAAAATGTTCAGGAACAGTGTTTAAAATACATTGAAACCACTCTAAGTTCGTCCGCCAAACTTTTTCCGAGGAGGAAAAACCAGAGACAACACTCTTAATTTTTCCTAGCACAGCTTAACCAGGCCAACTTTGTGTATTTCGTGGGCGAAATGACTTTAAAAGATCTGGAAAAATCGTGTTGTAGTCCAAACAAGCCGTTCGTTGTAGTTCTTGGAAAGTGGATTCTGTTAAATAAAATATCTAAGACTTTCAGATTTGTAACCTTGCAAATCCTTTTTTATGCTCAAACAGCAACATTACAAATTAACTAAAGTTGAAGAAGTGAAAAAGCATAATAGGACCCCTTTAACAAATTAAACTTTGTGTAACCCAAAATTTATACATGTTACAAAAGCCTATGCAACCAGGGGCGTCATGCAAGCCAAAATTCTGGGGGGGCACAATCTGAGACGTTGCAATTGTTTTCTGACGGGTGATATGGATCATGTTAGGAGGGGTCAGGGGGTTTCTCCCCCTGCAATTTTTTTTAATTCTGGCTGCGAAACATACTATTTCAATGCAGTTTGGGAGGGACAGAAATACCTTAACGGAGCTAGCAGCAACCCTCCTCTATCTGAGGACTAAGTTAAAGTATATGTGTATCTTATATGTGCATTATAAGATGTTTTGAAGGCCAAAAAAACTCCTAAAGTTGAGCTTTGACTGATAGGCTTTTCATTTTTGTCTGTCAGTGAAGAAAGTAAACATAGGGTCAACTGATAGGTTGATTTATGAATCATTTTCTCAGACGAATTTATTTACTGAAAGCTACTAGGAAAGCCTAATACAGGGCCGTAGACAGGGCTTTATAATCAAATTTGAGGTGGGTAGGGGGTTCAAATTTTTTATTTCTCTGATATGTGCATTTCAAGACGTTTGAAGGCCAAAAAAAGGATAAGAAATAGCTTTAAAACCATGTCAGTGGGCAGATTATTTGTCAATACCTGCTCTCACTTCTTATCCATCACTCTTTCTTTTTCTCTCAGTCTCCTGATCTTGCCTTCCCCTCCTAAAGCTGAGCTTTTTTAATTTACTTAAGGCTACAAATTGTACTATATTAATTCTCAATATGTACACATTCATTATTAATCTTGTGCCTAACAATGAAAACGTCTTTTCCCCTCACAATGACAGTAAACTAATTATTAGCCTATACAAGTCACGTTACATAGGCCTATTTTCAGTTCAAAATGGCGAAATTAGACAAAAGTATATTAGTTTGCCTGATTATTTTTGTCATTCGTTTAACATTTATGAACTAAAAAAACTGTCAAATATGAAATGTTTAGTTTAGCTACTTACATCTCGCACTTGACCGTACACTGAAGCGTCGAGTCTCACTGCTAAAATTCGCGCTCAGCTTCTGTGAACATAAAGCCCGCCTACTTTGATTTGATTGGTCATCTCAAATATTCTGACATTGACGAGCAGTGACAGACCAATGAGGCTCAGATGAACACGCACGCACACACACACACACACACACACACTGTCCTCTGTTTCTGACTTGCGCTCTGCTCGGCACCGCTGCGGATTGAAGATGAACAACGCGCTGAATCTGATTATAACAAGACTGAAGAAATAAAAAATGATCAGGGAGGAAAAATCTGAGGGGGCACGTGCCCCCTCACTTTGAATGGGCATGACGCCACTGTATGCAACTTTCAAATCAGAATCACTGAAGTTTAGAGTGAAGGTAATGTTATCTTGGGATATTTAACCTACCGGTCTCGATATCAATTTCATTTCTGTCGGCTGGTGTAGTTACGCTCACCGGAGTTCCAGGCTGGGCAGGTGATTGATCACTTCGTTGGTTTGAGACTTTAGATTCTTTAAATGTTTATTTAAGGCCCTGAACCGATCGCTGACACTGCAGCCACGTTCTCCATGTGGCCCTGTTCGGCCATTTGTAAAGCTACACCTTCAAACACAATCTGTTGAGATAAGACCCCTCAAACTTAGCTTGTATGGAGCGGTCACCCCAAATACTTAATAGGTCTTTCACCTCACCATCCCTCCACTGACTGACCTCGCAGCTTTCCTCCATAATAATAAAAAAAAAAACCGATAGTACACGCCAGTGCAGAATGATGACTCATGTCGATCAAGAATGACATTGAATGAACGTTGCATGAATTCTGATATGACTCTTCAGACTGCGGTCGCACTGTAAAACATCTGACCTGTATCGAATTTAGGACCTCATATGGAAGTGGGACAAATCAGAATTGAAAAGATCAGATTCCATGCAGTTTGTGCTGTTCACACTGTCATGACAAAAATCACATATCACAAAGTCACATGAGCAAAAAATTCAGATTTGGGCCACATTTACCTGCAGTCAGAACGTAGCTTAAGTGTGATGGCAAAATATTTTTGTATTACAATGACCAAAATTCAATCGTCTGTGAAGGTGATTTTTAAAATAGCTCCTTTTTCTGCAATTTCTTCCCAGAATGAGTTTGCAAATGACATTTCAGGTTTGCTCGATATGTGAAACTCATCTCAAACTGAAGACATACTCTCCAGTGTGAACTCTCAGTTTTCTCTTGAGTGAATCCTCATGTGAGAATTAAGGGTTACTTTTTGTCTGAAACTCTTTCCACATTGAGGGCATATGAAAGGCTTCTCTCCGGTGTGAACTTTCATGTGGACTTTAAGACTTTCTTTTTGAATGAAACATTTTCCACACTCTTGGCAGGTGAAAAGGTTCTCTCCAGTGTGAACTCTCATGTGGGCTTTAAGGCTGTATTTTTGAGTAAAACTTTTTCCACACTGTTGGCAGGTGAATGGTTCCTCTACAGTGTGAATTCTCATATGCCTTTTAAGGTTTTCTTTTTCAGTGAAACTCTTTCCACACTGTTGGCAGGAAAAAGGCTTCTCTCCAGTGTGAATTCTCATGTGGACTTTAAGGCTGTATTTCTGATTGAAACTCTTTCCACATTCTTGGCAGGTGAAAGGCTTCTCTCCAGTGTGAATTCTCATGTGGGCTTTAAGGCTATATTTTCGAGTGAAACTTTTTTCACACTGTTGGCAGGTGAAAGGTTCCTCTACAGTGTGAACTCGCATGTGTCTTTTAAGGTTTCCTTTTACAGTGAAACTTTTTCCACACTGTTGGCAGGAGAAAGGCATCTCTCCAGTGTGAATTCTCATGTGGACTTCAAGGTGTCTATGTTGATTAAAACTCTTTCCACATTCTTGGCAGGTGAAATGACTTTTAGCTCCCGTCTTTTGTGAGGAAGTATTTTCAGTCTGTGAGCAAGATTTTTCTCCAGTTATGAAATCATGGTGAATCTCATAGTGATCTTTCTCTTCATACAGTTTTTGATTCTCCTCTTTCAGCGCCATCGGTTCTAAGGTGAAAAAATACAAATACAAATGAACCTGTTTAATGGCACAAAGCAACATACATCAAAACATTTAGACATGTAAAGCATTAACACCAACATAAAGCATCTAAACTAAAAACATGTATGCTACATCCTATACCAATTAAGCTACCGAAAGAGGTGTTACCTGAAATCTCAGAACTTCTCAATATTTTCAACTTCACTTTCTTTTACTTGGGAGAACTGGTTAATTATAGACAATCTCAATATTCCCATTCATGTCTTAAATATTAGAAACACAGTGTCCTCTCTCAACTATGTTCAGATTTGCAGGAAACAATATGGGTTATTGTGGAGAATTTCAGTTAGAATTTAAGCCCCATCATACCACAGAACCTGTGCTTATTAAAGTTACAAATTAGTTGCATTTGGCATCTGATCTCAGCTAAATCTCTCTTCTAGTGTAATTTTTATCTTTTGAAAATATTACCAAAATTTTCTCTTAATTAACTGCCAGACAGTGTATTGGAATGGTTCATTCTAGAGGTTGACTGACATAGATTTTGCAGATTCATCTTCACTGATAACCGATTTACGCGTCCACTACAGGTAATTGATTTGTTTACTAGAAGCAGGATTAGTAGAGAACAGCACTATGTTTGTCTTGTCTAACTGGACGTTAAAGGGTTAGTTTACCCAGAAAATTGTAATTCTGTCATTAATTACCCTACTTCTCTATGCATTAACAACTCGTTTGAATATCATGCTATTACACTTACAACTCCCATTAAGATCCATATTGTAGTCATATTTCGCCCCCCAGGTCAACTGGGAAGCTTTGTAGAGGAGCTGGATGTGCTGCTGTCCTCTTTGCCTGAGGATGGCATCCCACTTGTAGTCTTTGGTGATTTCAACATTAATCTAGAGAAGCCGTATGCAACAGACTTCATCTCTCTCCTAGCCTCATTCGATCTCAAACTCGATCAAATTCGATCTGTGGCTTATCACCACAGGTACTCACAAATCAGGCAACCAACTGGACCTGGTTTACACACGCAACTGCATCACAGACAACATTTTGGTGAAATCTCTCCACATTTCAGATAATGTCCTCATTACTTTCAATCTACAACTCACTACCCATGCACCACCAACTCCCCTACCAGTTACTTTCAGACGAAACCTGCGCTCACTTTCTCCCTCTCATCTTTCCTCTGCTGTGTCATCTTCTCTTCCCTCACCCTCGCATTTCTCATCTCTGGATGTGAATACTCCAACGGATACTTTATGCTCCATTCTAACCTCTTCTTTAGACAACATCTGCCCTCTCTCCTCCAGGCCAGCACGCGCTACTCCCCCCAACCCCATGTTATCTGGGGTTCTTCGTGAACACCGGACCGAACTCAGGGCAGCGGAGAGGAAATGCCGCAAATCAAAAGACACATCTGACCTGAGTATCTGTCCACACTGGGATTTTCCCTACAGCATTTAAGTAGGCAAAAAAAAAATAACATTAATTACAGACCTGTCTCTCTCCTACCATTCATTGCGAAAACACTTGAACGAGTTGCTTTCAACCAAGTATCATCTTTCATGTCTCAGAACAACCAACTGGATGTCAACCAATCTGGCTTCAAGAAAGGGCATTCAATCGAGACTGCATTACTGTCAGTCCCAGAAGCCCTACGGACTGCAAAAGCTGCTTCCAAATCTTCAGTTCTCATCCTCCTGGATCTGTCTGCTGCCTTCGACACTGTGAATCATCAGATCCTTCTGTCCACACTCTCATCACTGGGCATCACAGGGACTCCTCTCCACTGGTTTGAGTCCTATCTCACAGGTAGGTCCTTCAGAGTCGCATGGAAAGGAGAGGTATCCAAAGCACATCAACTAACCACAGGGGTTCCCCAGGGTTCAGTTCTTGGACCGCTCCTGTTCTCCATTTACACCACATCACTGGGACCCATCATACAGGCACATGGTTTCTCTTACCATTGCTATGCTGATGACACCCAGCTCTTCCTCTCATTTCAACCAGATGATCCCACAGTAGCTGTACGGATCTCAAGCTGTCTGGCGGACATCTCGGCATGGATGAAGGAACATCACCTGCAGCTCAACCTGGCAAAGACTGAGCTTCTCGTCCTCCCTGCCAATCCGTCTCTACAGCACGACTTCACTATCCAGCTAGATTCATTATCAATCACCCCATCAAGGTTGGTCAGAAATCTTGGAGTAATATTTGATGACCAGCAAGTTCAAGGCACATTACAAAGACAGCTCGGTCATGCAGGAACATCAGGCCTTTCTTAACTGAGCATGCAACAACTTCTCGTCCAGGCCCTGGATATTTCTAGGCTTGATTACTGCAATGCTCTTCTGGCTGGATTTCCATCATGTGCAACTAAACCTCTATTAATGATTCAGAACACTGCAGCTCATCTGGTCTTCAACGAGCCCAAAAGAGCCCACGTCACTCCTCTGTTCATCTCTCTGCACTGGCTACCACTCGCTGCTCGCATCAAGTTCAAGGCATTGACGCTTGCTTACAGATCTATCACAGGCTCAGCTCCCTCCTACGAATCTACGTCCCTACCAGAAGCCCACGATCAGTCAATGAGCGACGGCTAGTAGTACCATCACAGACAGCCACAAAATCACTCCCCAGAACATTCTCATTCACGGTTACATGCTGGTGGATTGATCTCCCCTCCCTCATCCGGAATGCAGAATCCCAGACAACATTCAAAAGACAACTGAAAACTCATCTCTTCCGTGAGCACTTAACCTCATAAAAAAAATGATAGTAATTTGTTCCTTTTCCTTTAATCCTCCCTTGTCTGGCTTATGCTACTCTGAGCAATGCCTGAACTTTGTATTTTGAGCACTTCTTGCGTTGTTTTTACCTTTTCACGATGACTCGCTTGCTTTAATCCTCATTTGTAAGTCGCTTTGGACAAAGGCGTCTGCTAAATGACTAAATGTAAATGTAGCTTTAGCATATAAGCATCACTAAAGTGGTCTCAGCTATCGCCTGTCTTGTTTACACGTCACTCAAGAAATGATTGTTTGTCTGTTTTGATGGTTTCGGATGCGTGTCTAACTCTTAGAGATGTGACGGACTGGAAATTTTCCCACTAGTTAATTGACGTGTGATAACACCGGTAATACCGGCATCACCGGGTGGAGGGAAGTTAGAGTTGTTTTTTCTTTTGCACCTGGGTTAAATTGATAATTCCCACAGGCATTCATAACGCTGTGGAGCAGAGTAAGCGTTTTCAATTCATTCCTATGGAAGTTGAGCTTCAGTACGCACCTTTATAAAGGAATGCCTGTGCGGCCGTGGACATTATACTTTCACTTTTGGAGTGAAAGTATTGCTTGAATGGTGGGTTCATTATTATTCCTAATGGAAAAACAACAACAAAACAGTACGATGACAAACGCGGCTGAACTACGGAAACACCGTCAACACTGTCGCAGCAAGCCTACTAAGCTTTGAGTGCAGGCAAGGACACGTTCGAAATGCACGTGAATTAAAGGCACAATATGTAAGATTTTTTCGCCACAAGAGGGCGCAGTTTCCAACAATAACAAAAGCGTAGGTTGATGACGCAGTGATGAGCTGAATGATGGGACTTGCTGTCAAGCTGAACAACACAGTGGTATGAAGCAGGTCGCGATTGCTAAAGAGACAGATATCATACGCGAGTCCCGCGGATATAAAAGAATAAGGACATTTAATTCTACCGAACTACCCGCAAGTGCTGGATTACTCACACAGGTCAGTTTATTAGACGAATTAAACTAGAGGTAACGCAGCACTGCTTCACTTGGTCTAACGTTACACTATCACACTAAACGGCATTTAAATGTGTGTTGAAAGTTATAATGTTAAACTATGTGTTAGTTCGTTTTAGGGATGCATCGATCCGATACTCAGTATCGGTATCGGCTCCGATACTGCCATTTTTGCCGGATCGGGTATCGGTCAGAGGAGGCCGATCCAAATCCGATATTGTGCGTATTATTCTGTGTTATTGTTAAGCCCCACAAAAGGCACAAAAACATTATCAAGTACCATAAAGTTTTCGTGCACTATCTTATAAGTGTTCTGAAGCCATTATATAGTATAATGTGAGATAAAAATTAATATTTAAGTCATTAAATTCAAGACCTCGTAAACTTTTTCCCTCCGCTGCGGCTGTCAGTCATTCTCCATTCAGCATTTAACAGCGCGTCGCGTTCTGTTACGACAGGCAACACGATGAAACTCTCCAAGATCAAGATGATTCAATGTTACTATTATTATTCTTGATCTGTAGATAAAGGTCTATGGTTTAGCATAAAACAACTTTATATTGCTGGACTTTATTGCTGTAACTAAATCATGTTACTTTCTACCGGGCGTCTGTTAGATCGCAACAGAGTAGCCTAGAGTCAGAGAGCACTATAATTGTTCTTCACGCGCACAGTAACTGAAATTTAAAACTGTTAAAAGAAAAGGCTCAATAAACGATTGCATAGATACTGTGTATAATACACTACGCATCGATATGTCTTTCCTTTGTGCTTTGAACTGTTCAATGCGGATTCGACGCGTTGCGCGCTGTGACTCCGTGTTGCTTCAAGCGCATCATTCTGCGCTCGGGATGCGCATAAGTGCTGTGTGCCGCACTGTATTGGATCCTTTCATAATCATATAATACTACTTTTGCGCAATGAAAGATTATTAATAGCCTTTCTTGTTCTGTCCTATCTATCATATGTTGCTGCCTCATTAAACAGCTGTGCTATACATTTAAAACATGTCTCAATTTTATAGTAGCCTATACAGGCTATATATAATAATTTATCTTTTTGATTTTTGTTATCTTGTTTTTCATGAATGTATTTTACAACAATACAAAGAGCAATGTGTAATGTTTGACCAGATTTAGTGTTACACTTATTGTCTCTTATTTGTTCCCCTAAATTTTCTTCACTAAATGTTCAGATTTTATACAATTATTGTGCACTCATGATTTTTCTAGACTAAATTGCACTGCTGAATTATCCACTAATCTAGTTTATTATAGCATTTTTGTCACAGATTATGATCATATATTTTTGGGATTTGTTGTTTTTCTTTAAAATTAAGTTGTCTGTGTTAAGTAGATTGTGTTTAACACACAAAAGAGTGATTATCAGTTCAACACACAGAGTTATAGAAATTCTACTTGATTTAAAAAAAAAACTGCACTGGTATCGGATTGGTATCGGTATCGGCCGATACTCAGAATTTTGGGATCGGATCGGATCGGTTTTGAAAAAGCGGTATCGTTGCATCCCTAGTTCGTTTGCTATACGAAACTAGCAGTAAGCTAGATCAACATCTGAATCACATACTGACCATATTCTAACATTTCATCATGTTGAGCTAACGTTATATAACATTGATTTGTTTTATGTACATTTGCTCACCTGTCTAATAAAGCTGTCAAGTCGTGACTCGTGAAGCTCTGTCGAATCCAAGTTAGTCGCAGACGTGGAGCTCTCGGCATCTCAAAAACGCCACGCTGATATTGATCCTCATTTTAGTTTTCCTTGTTTGTCCCAAAGTCTGCTTGCCATGGTTTATGTTTGAAAGAAACAAGAACTGCTTGCCGCTAAACGTTACGCACTACGCATTTGTCCACGTCTGTCGCCATGGTTACGTCATGGCTATGGCAGTATGAACGGAAACCGAGGATAGCGCGGACATTGCGTCACTGACAGGCAACATTTTTTTCCGGGACGGCCACTTATTTAAAATCGGAATTTCTCTGAAATAAAATATCTTTGGAGACTTTTGGGATATTGTAAGTACACAACTGCAGGAAATATATCACACTGTGCAAGTGATTTTTGGATATTTTATTACAAAAATCTTACATATTGTACCTTTAATGGTTAATTTCTTAGTGTAATGAACAGAAACTGTTCAGGGCTCGTAAAATCACTAGCCCGACGTCCCGGGGCTATTGTGTTTTCAAGTCTGGCTACCAAAATGCATAACCGGCCTGCCCGACGGGCTATCTGAAATAGTGTAATCAAATTCCCCTAAACTTCTGCCTCGCCCCCCTAAAAATGTGTGATTAAGTGTAAGCTACACAAATTCGTGTTCGCTTCAGTCTTGTTATAATCAGATTCAGCGCGTTCATCTTTAATCCGCAGCGGCGCGTGTGCAGAGTGCACGTCAGAAAAAGAGGACAAGGGTGTGTGTGTGTTCATCTTAGCCTCATTGGTCTGTCACTGCTTGTCAATGATTGGTTTGAGATGACCAATCAAATAGGCGGCCTTTATGTTCACAGAAGCTGCTGCGTGAATTTTAGCAGAGTGACTGACGCTTCCGTTTATGACGCTTTCAGATAAAATGTAATTAGCTAAACTAAACATTTCATATTTGACAGTTTTTTTAGGTCATAAATGTTAAACGAATGACAAAAATAATCAGGCAAACTAATATACTGCAGGGCTCGAATTTCAGCGCGGGTATTGCGCATAATTCTAATCATTCCCGCAGGTCTCCCATTTATAATGCGGGAAATTCCCGCAACCGTAATCCACACAGATTATAAAATCAAATCATTCTTTTAACAACTATCTTCCAGAAACAATTTCACAAACAGCGTGAGTGTTCAGCGGTGCCGCGTTTTCTATCTCTTCTTTCAAAATGTGTTGTGCAAGGCAAGCATCAAGCGCTGCGGCGATAATACACACTCGCGTTTAGGAGTCGGGACATGACAGAATATTCACTTGCACAATCGGGCCAGCAGTGCATCGTGACTGAAGTTTACCATTTGCACGTCTTTTTAAGTCTTACCAGTTTAAAAATTCAAACGATTTTAAACTAATCAGTGCTCGCCCGCTCTGAGATGATTTTCTATGCGCACATTCATAGAGAATCCGCCTCAAGAACAGCTGGCCAGTAACAAAAGTTATTTTTCGTGGATTATATTGCTTTAACACGCAAAATTGTGTCAATTTCCGTCTTCGTGAGTATACTCTAAACATAGTCGGTTTTGTCTTTTAATAAGCATAAAACACATGATCCGTGCACTATAGCTCTTAAAGTGACGGCAGCCATATGTGTCTGTCATTAATTTAGTTGTCAAAACAACAAAAGATAGCTTTAAGTTAAAGGAATCAGGATTAATAGCCTATGTATTTAATTTATTCAGGACTAAAATACTACCCAGTGTTATTTTCCATTTGATTACTTTATTCAGTTTCTGTATATGAATACTAGTGTTAGACCCATTGAAAAACTTGTCTTTATTTGTATCTTTATTCTATTGTATTTATTTGTGCTACTTTTTTTCTATTTAATTAAACATGCAATGAGCGCAAACATTTAGGCAAGATAAATGTAATAATTTTGTTTGGAAAAAATGCAAATTTCAAATGTCTTGAAATGCACATATCAGAAAAATAAAAAATTTGAACCCCCTGACAACCTTAAATTTAGGACCTCTTTGATTATAAAGCCCTGTCTACGGCCCTGTGTTAGGAATAAGCTCAAAAATGAATGTGTATATATTGTGAACGAATTTAATAAACTTAGTTAGGCTACCTAGCTTTCCTAGTAGCTTTCAGTAAATGAACGCGACTGGGAAAATTATTCATAAATCAACCTATCAGTTCAGTTGACCCCATGTATACTTTCTTCACTGACATAAGGAGAGAAAAATAATCAGCTGCATGACATGTTTTTAAAGTTATTGTTATCCAATTTTTTTTGCATATGTAGATCAGAGAAATAAAAAAATTCTCGAACCCCCCTAACTAGCCTACCTCACATCCGGGACCTCAGTAATTATAAAACCCTGCCATCTGCATGTTAATGAAACTAGTTAATAGTGAGCATTAGACACAAAACTAAAGTGTTAACTTTTTTTAGTCATACCCTCATTGGGGGCTGAGCCACAGACTGATTCATGTTCCATACTGGTCATACACATTTCAGTTCAGTTAGAACCAGATGCATATTTGTATTGATGATTCTAATTTGATTATGTTATATCCAATTGTTGATATTTGTGTTTTTAAAAAGTTTTTGATTGATGTTTTGACTCCTAACCAATTTTCTACATTAAAAATGTGTCTGTTTATTTGGGCTAGTAAAATTCATTTCGGGCTACCAAAATCTGAGGAGTGCCTGCCCGAAGGGCTACCAGCGATTTTGACATTTTCTGTCCTGTCACCTGGTTATGATATGCCCGAGTTTAATGTTACACCACTTTACCCCTTGATTCAAACATACTAGGAGCCACATTGTTTGTTTCTGCTTCTTTTTCACTTCTGTTTTCTGTTTTGATCTGGAGATTCAGTATTTTTTAAGAAGATGTGTAATCAGCTTTGAGAATGAAACCAACCTGTTTGTTCCTCAGTATCTTCTCTTTTCACTCTGAATGTTTCTTCAATCTTCATTTCTTCACTCTCCTCTTTAATAAACGCCATCTTTATAATAATGTGTCACGTAGATGTCAGCATCTTCACCAGGAGTTTTTCTGTGTGTTTGAACAGTTTGACATCTTTAAAATGAAAATAATCAACAGATATAAAAATAAATCCAAACTAAATCTTTGGGTACGTCTCAATCAGCTCTAGTTCAGCACACTGGTTAGGGTAAGTCAGTCAGAGTTAATGGCCTCAAATGACATGATTTAGACAAAACCTTTTAAAACCAGTGCTTCAAATTAATAAAAGAACACAAATTATACAAATACTTCATATTTAGACATGTCAATTATTTGTAGATTACACTGTTGGCCAGAACGTGCACTGAATCAATAAATCATTTTCAGAAACAACTAGTTCAATTATTAACACGGATTTTCGAGTTTAAATTTTCACGTTTCTTCATCACTAATCGCCAGTGACCAAATTCATGTTTACGACAAACTGGTTCACGATAGGGAGCGAAATGAGACGCACCTTTTCTAATACTCATGTGTGGATGCACTTTACACACAAAATAAAGTTCATTAATGTTAGATAAAGTATTACAATGTTAAATTCAATAACAATTAAGCAATTTTCCATCGTTTATATACATATATATAAATGCCTGAACGGGTTGCACTGATGTAAACACTTTAAATGCGTAAAATACAAACCTTTCTTCAGCCGATTCACAACAGAAGTATGAGCACGGCGCAGTTTATGACGTCATGTCTCCAGACCAAAATAAAAGTCCAGTTCTGCTGTCTAAAACCACCAAAGTGCAATAATAAATACATGTCAACGAAATTTAGAGTTTAATTCTTGGAGAAATACATATTTAAATACATGTTGTCAAATGACGTGATGAAAATATTAAGAGCTACTACTACTAATGAAAGAGGATGCAAAAAAGAAACTGGTCATCACGTTTTTTAACATCGCATCCTCTTATGTATTTCTCCAAGAATTCAACTCTAAATTTCTCTGACATGTATGTTGTTATTGCACTTTTGTGGTTTTAGACAGAACCGTGTGTTTTTTTTTTTTTTTTTTTTTGACAGAACCGTGTGCACTGTACGTTTATTTCCATGTGACGTCATAAGGCTGCGCCACGCTCCTGCGTCTGTTGTGATACTGCTGAAGAAAGGTTTGTATTTTAAGTTTATACAAACGGTGAACTAGGGAGCTGATTGAGAGGCACACAGATATTTAGTTTGGATTTGTTTTTCTTTCTGTTAAATATTCTCATCTTAATCATGTCAAACTGTTCAACCACTCAGAAAAACTCCTGGTGAAGCGACTGAGACCCACGTGAGACTATTATAAAGATGGCGTTTATTAAAGAAGAAAATGACACGAAAATTGAAGAAACATTCACAGTAAAACAAGAAGATACCGAGGAACAAACAAAGATGGTGTTTATTAAAGAGAGTGAAGACATGAAGATTGAAGATACGGAGGAACAAACAATAATGGTGTTTATTAAAGAAGAGAGTGAAGAAACGAATATTGAAGAAGCATTCAGAGTGAAACAAGAAGATACAGAGGAACAAACAAATATGGTGTTTATTAAAGAGAGTGAAGAAACGAATATTGAAGCATTCACAGTGAAACAAGAAGATACAGAGGAACAAACAAATGTGGTGTTTATTAAAGAGAGTGAAGAAACGAATATTGAAGCATTCACAGTGAAACAAGAAGATACAGAGGAACAAACAAATGTGGTGTTTAGAGAGAGTGAAGAAATGAATATTGAAGAAGCATTCAGAGTGAAACAAGAAGATACAGAGGAACAAACAAATATGGTGTTTATTAAAGAGAGTGAAGAAACGAATATTGAAGAAGCATTCAGAGTGAAACAAGACGACACTGACACACAAACAAATATGGTGTTTATTAAAGAGAGTGAAGAAACGAATATTGAAGAAGCATTCAGAGTGAAACAAGACGACACTGACACACAAACAGGTTGGTTTCATTCTCAAAATTGATTACACATCTTCTGAAAGAGTATCTCCAGATCAAAACACAAGCAAAAAATAAGCAGAAACAAACGATATCATATGCAAGCAGATGTAAAATAACATGGTCATCAACATTAAACAGCATATAAATCAAAACTTTGATAAGCTCTAGTTTTTACACAGAGGATACTTTGTCATATGCAGCTCTCTGACAGAGTTAATTGTAAAGCATTATCTATTGTGAAGGGTCATTTCATTATGGTTGATCTAGCGCTGCATGTGCCAGAATTTATTTTCAAGGAAGTACCGATTCTATTAATGTGTAAAGCTACAGTAGCATCTTCAGCTATTCAGATTGAGTTCCTTTAAACTGGTTATATCTCTTAATAATTTATGAGCAGTAGGATATAACCAAATTCATCCGCACAGTCACGCAGAGCTGAAGCACAACCAAAACAATGTTCTTCCGCAAAATGCATGCAGTGTTGTTGTTTGTTTAATAGCTAGAAACTAAAAACTAACTTTTTTTCCCACACCTGCCAATGGCTGGTAACTTTTAGTAAATGTAAGTTACCGGCCATGAATATTTTTTTACTGTCCGTGAAACTGTTTCTGCAAAAACAGGCAGTTATGACTAGGGGTGTGCACGAATATTCGATCTGTAATTATTATTTGAAAAATAAAATACTATTAGAATTTTACTATGTTGCTTTGCTGGTCGGAATCCATGATAAATCCCAAGCACTAACTCGCAGTTATAATTAAATGCACTGGGTGGCGCTGTGGATCGTGTTAACAAGTTGTTTGTTTTTGATCACATAATGTTGTCGTCTGCCTCGTGAAGTTTGGAATTGCTTGAAAATTATCTTATTAAATGATCTCACAAAATGGAATTACTTTTGATCAAATTAATGAATGAATCAGAGTTATAATATCATCACCACAATGAGAAATCACATGAAATCCAAACAGCAGTGAATGAGGAAAGGCAGCTGTCCATCACTGCATTCACGACTGCAGGTCAGCGCAGCTGGACCCCGCGTGATCCGAGATGATAACTTATCTGATAGCAAAATGATTTTGAGACATATACTTCCTTTAAGTTTCATTGAGTGAGACAGGTTTAATAACAGAAAACGCAAAGTGCTGTTAGAAACTTAGAACACCGTTATCTTTGTGTCTCTGAAACGTCTGTCAGCGCAGCGTCTTTTCTCACTCGAGCATAAATTGCTGGCGGTGCCTCTGCATGTGGATATTATTGTTTTTCTCAACATAAACGTGAAACAATATAAACACGATAATCAAATGCTGACTCGAATGTATGTTTTGTACGATAACATTAAGAGCTTAAATGCTTTTGTTTACACATAGGCCTTCTGTTTAATGTTTTAATCTAAAAGAAACATTAACATATATTGTAAGCTTGTTGTGTATATTACCTAATCGTAAGATTGTTCAGAAATGGTGACAAAAACTTTAAATAAACGAATATTTGATTTTTGTGAGCCTGAATATTCTAATGCAATATTTTAGAAAAATGCCCATCCCAAGTTATGACACCAGAATTTTAGACACCAGTGTAAATTATTTTTCAATTTCGATACCACAGCTAAAACTACTAGCTTAACTAATATGAGGTTTTCAAGTAGAGACATTTACAAGTAATCAAATGTAAAATAAAACTGGATGGTCTTCACTGTATAAATTAAATATACATTTTTCCTTATTGAAGTGTCAAAAGTTATCCAGTTAAGAGCACCGAGTTGTTTGATTAACATTAAACTGACAGCAGCAGAAATATTAGCCCTTTAACGTGGATTGTAACCGTGCGGTTGACCTTTTTTCGTGGTCAAATTCCTGTAATTAAAACTCGCCAAACCCCATTTTTAGCCGTTTGTTCTTCCTCTCACTGAATAGAATGTGTAATGACAATTATATCCACTGGGTGGCAATGTTGTAATAAAATATTTGTTGCTGAGACGAGCTGAATCTGAACCGGAAGTGTATTGTCGTGACCTCTCTTCAAACAATGGCTGCCAGTGATGCTAAATTTAAGGTAAGATATTTTTTGGTCGGATTTCATGTTCTAGACTTCCTAATGATTATATTTTTGTTGAATGGAAGAAACGTAATGATAAGATGTATCTCTCTGTTACCTCAGAAAAGTTGTGTGACCGCTCGGTTGAGGTGCCCAGTTAGGGTAACTTAAACTGAACTGGACGCTAGCTAAATTAGCACAGCAACGCGATCGTTACTCAGTATAATACACCCTGCAGGATCATATGGTCTATTTCTTTGCTAGACTATATGTATTTTACGCTTATTTATACGGCCTGTGGTTTTACCTTCAGATTCTAAATTTAATACATATTACGAAATGAACCATTAGTCCTACTCATTTCTGCAATAGCCTTAGTAGCTGAGGCTTATTGACTAACACTACGTTATGCGTTGAATAGCTACAACTACAGCTGTCTAGATGGATATAAACATTACATTTTCTGTTCAATAATCTGACAAACATAACACGATAATAAGACTGAAATTGAATTGATGGTTGGACATTTTTGGCTTTATTTAGCACAGTAAACTTACCTTATCAGTCACACTTCAACATTTTCTGTCTCTTCAACTAATTTCATGGTTGTGTGTTATCCGATTTGTCATACATAGTACACAGAGTATTTATTAGCATATGCAATTTTTAACAAATTAAAATAAATCACATTGTGCCTGTATGTTGGGAGAACAGTTGCATCAATATGACAATTGTGAATATATTATGAATAGATGTACCTGATGCACTGGTTACTCAAGATCCTACACTGTACAGTAATGTTTATTATGTTCCATCTCTTTCAGACATAATGGACTATCGTACATTTTATGGACCCCCCAGATCTACCTCTAGCACTATTGCACTTTTACCCGCTGATCCATGTGACTCAGAAATGGAAGAGCTCAGTGATCCAGACGATGGAGATGATGAAGATTTTGTCCCTCCACGTAGTATAGATTTACCGCCCCCTTCAAAGAAATTGAGGAATAGAAACAGGCTTGTTGAGGTATCTTCAGACCTCAATCAAACTCCCTCCCCTCCTGCAAAG